CCATACCGTATTTACCTTTCCCTCCGCCCATTCGACGCCCACACAGCATAACCAACGTCCAACAATAACAATTTCCAACGCCCACCCCTACCCCAACCCATAGTCACTCCTCCCCTTTCAAAAATATCATATGCTGCCACGTTGTCGTCTCATTTAGTAAATAAAAAATAATAAATAAATAAATAAGTAAATCAATAAATAAACGACAAAAAACTAATATGTGTATAAAATTATTTTAAAAAATAGATTGAAAAAACAACAACAAAAAACAACCCTTAACGTGGAAACGGTAAATCACACTGTGACTTCCTCGATACATAAGATACGATGTACGACCCATCTCCCCTCCCCCTCCTCCCTTCCCCCCTCCCTCCCACCCTCCACTCTCCTCCCCTTTCTTATCCTCCCTCCCCCACCCTCCACTCTCCTCTCACCCCCTCCCCTCCCCTCCCCCCTTCTCCTTTCTCCTTTCCTCTCCCTCCTTCTCCTCTCCCTCCCTCCCTCCCTCCCTCCCCTCCCCACCCCCACAAAACCCCACGCCCCCTATCTAGGCCTATCACCCCATCAACACGTCCGAGCAGGCCGACCCCCCGCCTCGGACTAAGGCCTATTAAACCCCATTTCGAGCGAGGGAAGAGTCCATAAAAATTGGCGGCGACCTTACGACCTTTTTTTTTTCTCTCTCTCCTCGCGCCGCGCCCGACGGATCCCGCAGGTGAGGAGGGAGGGGGAAGGGGAGAGGGGAGAGGGGAGAGGGGTGAGGGGGGGAAGATGGGCTAGGGGGTAGAGATGGGGAGATGGTAGGGGTGAGAAGGGAGTGGGGATGAGAGGGGAGATGTAGGAGATGGGGGAGAGGGAGAGGGAGAGGGAGAAGGGTGAGGGGGTTAGGAGAGGAGAAAAGAAGTTAAGACAGGATGGAGAGGAACGGGATATTGGGTAGGACGGAAAGATGAGGAAGAGGAAATGGGGAATAAAGGTATGAGAAATGAAAACAAGAAATAGAAAAAAAAAATGTCGTGAATGAAGGGGTGGGGAGAGAGGAGAGAGGGAGAAGGAGGGTAAGAGAGAGAGAGAGGGAGAGAGAGAGAGAGAGAGAGAGAGAGAGAGAGAGAGAGAGAGAGAGAGAGAGAGAGAGAGAGAGAGAGAGAGAGAGAGAAGAGAGAAGAGAGAGAGAGAGAGAGAAGAAAGAGAAGAGAGAGAGAGAGAGAGAAGAGAGAGAGAAGAAAGAGAGAGAGAGAGAGAGAGAGAGAAAGAGAGAGAGAGAGAGAGAGAGAGAAGAAAGAGAAAGAAAGAAAGAGAGATAGAGATGGACAAACTCAAATATCAAAATTACTAATTTCAAAAAACCCTTGATGGACCTAATTGAAAAGAACACACTATAAACATAACAACAATAGTAATAGCTATAACAATAACAACAAATATATGAACAGGCGAAAAAGTACTCAACAATAATAAACATATAAATACACTATATGCAGATTAATTATAAAGAGACTACAAAAGTATTAATTAAGCAAACGCATATCTATAACCCCACAAAAAATATAAGACATAAAAAGACAAATAAATAGAAAACAAATAAGGAAATAAAAGATATATAACAAATATACAAATCATCACAACGCGCCCACATTATAACCCCACAAAAAATATAACAGACATAAAAAAAATAATAATAAGAAAACAAACAAAGAAATAAAAGATATAAAAATAATACAAATTCAACACAACGCCACATCTATAACCACAACAAAAAACATAAGACATAAAAAGACAAATAAATAAGAAAAACAAACAAAGAAATAAAAGATATACAACAAATAATACAAATTCCTACACCTCTCACCTGTCAATCAAACGGCGACGGTGGCCAAGAACCCCCAGGCGACATAGAAACGCCCCAAATGCCAAAAGAGACGATAAAGAAAGAAAGAAAGAAGAAAGAAAGAAGGAAAAAGAAAGAAGAAAGAAGGAAAAGAAAGAAAGAAAGAAAGAAAGAAAAAAGAAAGAAAGAAAGCAATAAAGAAAGAAAAGAAAGAAAGAAAAGAAAGAAAGAAAAAAAAAAAAAAACAAGGATGGGCAGAAACAAGGCGCCAGAGACAAAGACACGCACGGACATATGGAGAACGAAAGAAAGAGGCAATAAACCAAAACAAGAAGCAAAGAAGAACGAAAGGAAGAAACAAGAAACGTATATATGAATGAATGAATGTCGAGAAAACAAATACAATTGGTCTTTGTCGTCGTCTTAATTATCATTATCATTTCTCCTTCTCTCATTCTCCAACTACATTCAAAAAAGAGAAAAACAAAACAGAAAGACAAGAATAAAAAAGACAGCAATACCAAAAACAAACAAAAAACATACAAAAAAAACAAACAAACAAACAAGTCTCCCCTCAAAAAGAAAATTTACTCCCACCCCTGTCGCCGCGTTCATCACCCGCGGAAGATAAGGGTCATCTTGCCCTGTTAAAGGCCGATAATATCACCATTACAGACCACCCTCAGCTCCCTTATCTCGGGGCCACGTCTCAACCACCAA